CTGAACAATTTAGTTAGCTACGAATTTCTTAGTCAGCTGATGATAAACAGTGCTCAAGGATAAACAAGGTGGGTTTCTCGAAATTTCGACAGAATGGTGTGAGTAGAGCTTCTCAAGCAGAGAAGACAATTTATAACATTGAGAGGCATTTAACTTGGAATGTTGATTTAATGAATTTTTAAGTTCCCGGTCAATCAGTTTAGAGTTTAATGTGTTCAGTGAAATCTCGATCTTAGGAGGAAATTATCCACTGGTATAAAAGTGGAATAAATTACCTATCAATACCTCTGCGATTATAAGGATTTTCCAGCTGGTCAGTATTTCTAGAGCCTCTCAGTTCTACTAAACGTGCATCACAGTGTTGAGTGGTTCCTAGGGGACAGTAGTTTTAAGGCTACTCACACTTTTAGCACCCAAAAGTATTTATGCAAACTGAATGGTTTTTGACAGAACTAACTAACTAACGTTGACAGATATTAGTACATGAATAAAGACTTTTCTACTCACTAATGCATACGACATACCAGAAAACAAAGTGGAGTCACTTGAGAAAAGATTCTTTTCGGATGGAAAACATCAAGGGTTTTAGAGCTTTCTATTATCAGTGAGTCGTTCTTCTCTTGTACGAAAACTGTTGTATAACCAAGGGTATACTAATGTCAAACCAACATTAGTCAAACCATTGGCTAATGTTGGGACATAACATGTATTTTAAACGCGTATGGTTTACTCTAAAAGTCAATTCCATTGACTGATTACTACTCAAGTTACAATAACACTGCTGTGATAGGCCAAAGTAAAATCTGTCAATATTTTAGTGCACATTTTGAAAAAAAGCCTATTGGTATTTATGAATACAGGTGGTTTTTCACGTTTTCAACCTGAAGGCTAACTCACAAATCATCACTGTATCATACTGTATCGGTGTTTCGGATCGTTGTACACTTTTACATCGACTAAACTATCTTCATAGACAATATCTGAAAATTTCTATCGTTTTAATTGCACACTACTGCCTTGAGATGTATTTTAATCTACAGGTGCAACTAGTCATAGTGTTAGTCGATAAAAACTTCTTATTAACAAGTTTCAAAATAGGCAACAATCATAAGGAGTAACATTAACACGTGCTTTGCAAGCGGTATGTAATTTTCTTGTAACTTTTTTTCTCGTCTTTCAATATGTCTGTGTAGTTTTACAGTTCGGAATACAATTTCCTTTTTCAAGTGATTTAATTTGTCAATACAACACTTATTCTTTCATTATCCATGCTTGCATGATTTTAAAGTGTGTACACCTGTTGCTACCGGAATACTTTGATTTATCTTGACTACATTTACACATGTTTATATGTTCGTTTTATTTAGTTTGTTTTTTTTGTATTGATCTCGCTGATGCAAAGATGTGTATTCCACTTTTTGTGTCTTTTTCTGAACATATTTATTAATGCATACATACCCTGCTGATACCTTTTCATATTTTTCCATATGTTGATTTACTAAAGTGTTCTTCTTTCATTGATTTCCACTTGGTTTTGCACTGATATCACACATAACAGTTTGGAAATGAGGTTCTACGCTATTTTGTCGCTCTATTCGACTGTACTGTTTCAAGCTGTCATTAAAGTAAAGCTGCTTCATAAAAAAAACTGACTGGCATATGAGAAACATTGAAAACATTATGTAAATCATTTATTGTTCTTCTCTGGTCACATTACCAGTGTTAATCCACAGACAGTAGATATCAAAAAAATCCCAAGTTATGACGAAAATCTATTTTGGTGAATTATTATAAATGTGATTTTTTTTCATGATAGTGTTAATTTTTCAGGCCAAAATATTCCAGCGATGTTTTAGCAAGTCCTGAAAAGCAAATTTTGCAGAAAACAACGAACCCAGTGTCTTTTGTCGCCTTCTTTTCAACTGTGTAAAGGCTATAAAAATTATGAGATATATTGCAGACAAATGCAATCTAGTCCATTAGTGAAAAATAATTAATTGATAAAGAGTAAGGAAGTCAAAGAGAATTATTTTGTTATTATCATTATTTTTCCCTTCGGTTCCTAATGGGACATAGGGCTTCAGTAGCACACCTCCACTGCACCCTCTTCTCTGCAGCCTTTTCAACCTGGCACCACGACTGCCCACAAGCTTTCATTTCTTCCTCACATCATCTCCTCCATGTCACTCTCGCCTCGGACGCCCAACTCGTCTTTTCCCCTTTGGATTCCACTCGACGACCTGCCTTGGCGCGTGATGTCCACAATCAACCTACTCAGTGTATGCCCAATCCATCTCCACTTTCTCCTGCATATTTGTTGGGTGATAGGTTGTTGGTTGATTCGTTGCTAATCACAGTTCCTTGTTGCTTGTTCTTGTTATTCTGGCCATCTGATCTTCAGTGTCAGTATGGAGTGAGCGTAGGCGGCAGCTGTTGATGGAATGTCTGTAGTTTGTTGGAGATGCCTTTCGTGACACGCCAAGTTTCTGAAGCATAACATAGAAGTACTGACTTGACTGACATTAGTGTTGGAATCCGGAAGTTGTTCACGCTTTATGCTGAGTGTAGTGTAGTGTAGTGCAGTGCAGTGCAGTAGACCTCCACACTGGTTTCAGGTTAATGAAGGTGTGTCTGCTATCTTTCCGATCCTGACTGCTTTGACGTCCTCATCTGTGCCTGTGCTATAATCAGTTGTTAACTACACCTGAAGTCGAAAGCTACCTTAAACTTTTGAGATTAAATAGGCTAACTGTTAGTGATGGCGAGAATCGCAGCTATTTCGGATACGCATTCGAGATTGCAACTAGATTACTGAAGCCATTCGGAATCCCTATATCTCATAAGCAGAAGAAATCTCTTGACTTTGTAATGCAGGCCAAAAGATGTCTAGAATAACAGTAAAAGCTTCAAAATTAAACCATCCAGCTCAAAGAATGCAACACCAAAAGCTTCATATTTAATCAGCATTCCTTAGCTTCTCTCTTCCCATCTGACATCACTTTAAAACTTTTTTTAAACGAAAACAGAAGCAATTTACTAAAAAATTTTGGGAATGAGTTAGGTTGTCAGAAACCCTGGGTTATGAAATAATTCGAGCCCCTACTCATCTGTATGACCCAGTTGTTCACTAGGGATCAATTCAGTGGAACTATCAAATATTTTTCCAAGTTAGATCTTCCTGACTTAACAAAATCAATTTGAATTAAAAATAAAGAGCCATTGATAGATTATCAGGCGAACTAGTTGAAATCTATTTAAATCTGAATGTAGTAAACTTATTGAGTGAAAGATCATTATTTATCATTCATTCGCATTGTCAGCTTGCCAAAACAATCACACTAAGTGCAATGAAACTGCTGTCTGTAGTCCAATCGATTGAGTTCCAGGTTTGTGATTCTCAGATCACCGATTTGAACGATGCCTGTATCCAGTTTTCTTATCAACTGATTTCATCGTTCCTTAACATGAAAACCAGTACACCAAATAGTCTCAGATAGAATAACTAACTTTTTTATTTGTTGTCCAAATAAATGCTAAGTGACTATAGTGTTAAAAGTATGATTTCTGTTTTGTAGAAAACAAGATTTGTTTTGCTACATCTATATACTCAACGAATCATGTGCTCATGCTATCTTTCACTGCTGTTTTTATTACCTGAACTTCATTGTTACACATTAGAACAGTGAATTTATTTGAAATCACATTTCCATTTAATCCTTTTACGTATAGTATGATTTTTTTAAATTCTAGTAAGACATTTCAGAGTAGACTAGCATCTCTAATGACTTTCTAACCGCAGACTGTGATCTAGTTTTATTAGTAGAAGTGGGATTTCAAAAGCTCGTTTTCTTTAGCTTAAAACATTTCCCAGCTGCCACTGAATTCACCTGTCACATTTTAGCAAGATGTAAAGGAAGAAATAAAGACAATAGGTTTTAAGTGTATTTTACTTTTATTAATTGCATTCTGTATTCATTTATCTGCATCAATTTGGTACAGACATAGAGAGAAAATCAATGTAGAACCTCACACACAAATGTATCGGCTCAGGTTGCCACACTTCACAGTAACACACAAAGAACAGATGGATAGAAAAAGAGTAATATCAAAGTAGACAAAGCAGTAGGAGAGAATAAACGATCTAATGATAAAGGTTAATGTAAATATCCAAGCTTTAAAAGATGTCAAGGAGTGAATACATCTGCGCCATTGTGAACGATTTCTATTTTAGCCGACTTAGGAATTCAGTAGCAACATTCTGTGCAACAAAATGATAACAGTAAAACTAAGTAACTAATTAAACATTTATGCCCAAGTTAGCAAACTGTGCTCATTGTATGAAAGTTGACATTACTACTTTTTTGTTCACTAATATATACACAAAATGTTCAAACTCGTGATTACTAATAAAAAGTCAACTAATTCACACCTTCAACTGCTTCAAATCAACATGGTACAGAAGTAAATCAGTTGAGCTGCCATATTTCGCAACCACACAAGAGGAGGAAGTGAATAGAAATGTTGAGGTATTATTAAAACAAACAAAAGATGTCATTATCAGAGAAAAAATAATTGAGTGGAAAGTTGGTGAAAACAATTAAAATTTATGTGAGATATAAAGAGTGAATACAGCTGCACACACTCTTATGGTTGATTTTGAATCACATCACTAGAAGTCTAAACCATTAGTTTCTTACTGTGATGCGTTATTGTGTAGAGAGGCAGTAATCCAGGTTTATAGTATTTGAATATTAATTTTGGTGTAAAATATTTGAAATGAAGAAAATCGAATCTGTACATAGAACTACTCAGAAACAATACTACATAAAGATGGTAAGTCAAACATTTTAAGATGAGTAAAACACCTACGTAAGTTTTTTCGACAGCATAACAGGATAAAATATTTGAAAATCTAAACAATTATTTTATAAATCACTACGTTCTATGAATGCTGACTATATTATGTTTGTTTAAAACCAATCATTTCCTTCTTACTCTAGGTTCGAATCTTTTGTAAGCTTCAAAAAGTGAGTTCATTATTTGTTGATTTCATTAAATTTTCTTCTACTGTTGGCGTAAATTTCCGAAGTAACATTTATGTGTAATAAAATAAAGATACAAACATGGACAAACAAAGTCACTCGCTGCCTTATTATCCACACAGCATGCAAAAATAAATTTAAAGATCAGTAATACTAACTAAGATTAGGTACTTATGAACTGCTGAAAGTTTATAAAGGAAGCATTTAGTTTAATGGTGGTCAGGCCACTTGTGAAGTACGATACAAGCATAGTAAGTCATTTACCATCTCAAGTGAATATGCTACTGTTTCTGTAAGTGAACCTCGCCTGCTTAACTAGTTCACTAGTTACTAGCCGGTCCTAAGCCCGGGTAAAGAGAGAAGGTTGGGCATAAGGCTAGCAACCCTACCATGTAAACCAAATCTAACCACTAAAGAAACTTCAAAGCACAAACGATGTATAAAAAATAAAAACAAAATTATTCCTCGCTGGAATCGGAGAGGCGAAATAACGCCAGTTGGTGAAAGCCTTCGGGAAGCCAATTGGCCGATGTGTCTCCTCTCCCTAGATGAAAGCGAAAGTAAACGTGGGGACATGGAATGTTCGCACGATGTTTGAACCTAGCAAGGCAGCCCAGATTGCAGAAGAGATGAGAAGGTATCACATTGAAGTGCTCGGAATTTGCGAAAGCAGATGGAATGGGAGTGGACTGTCCAAACTGTCAACTGGAGAGGAGTCAATAATCTACTCCGATATTGTCACCCAGACGACAACCACGAGCACACTGAGTTATGGAGTGGCTATCATGATGTCCCCAACAGCATCGAACGCTCTCTCTAGTGCAGGGAACCTTCAAAGTCAAGTTGAAAACCTTCAAAGAGGTTTGTGATAGACCACAGTCCAAGTACAACACCCAGAACAGAAACTGAAGGACGAAACTACAAAGGAAATCTTCACGTCAGTCAGCCATGAAGACAAAATGGGAGATATCGAGGAACATCCCTGAAGAGACCTGTATGGAAGAATACTGGAAGTCTTTGAAAGCTATGTGGAAAGAAACCTGCACAGCCGTATTAGGAAGGAAGAAGAAAGAAGACAAGGAATGGATCTCGACGTATACCTGGAAGCTGATAGAGGAGATGGTGATGATGGTGAAGCAGAAGATAAACTGGTGGGCAAGGATGCTCAACGACAAGAGGAACTGAGTATAGTGTATAAAACACTGGACAAAGAAGTGAAGAAGAGTGCACGGAAAGACAAAAGACACTTCTACGAAACACTGGCAAGTGAAGCAGAACGGGCTGCAGGTAGGAGAGAGAGACCTGACAACATTGTACCAAATAACCAGGTTGCCATCTGGGAGTAGATCAACACAGATGAAATCAATAAAAGATGATGACGGAAATTTAATTACGAAAGAAGAGAAACAGAGGAAACAATGGGCTGACCACTTGAAGAAGCTCCTGAATCGACCACCACCACCACCTGCACTTCGTCCAGAAATACGGCCTACAGCCGCTGAACTACAAGTGAACATAAATCCTCTAACAAAAGTAGGAGTCCTGAACGCCATAAATCTACTGAAATGCAGGAAAGCAGCAGGACCAGATGGGGTTCAGCCAGAAGCATTGAGAACAGACGCAGTGACAACAGCGGACATGCTCACACCACTATTGTAGAAGGTGTAAAAGGAAGGGAAGGTACCTTGCTAGTGATTGGAAGAGGGGTTACCTTGTCAAACTGGCGAAGAAGGGAGACCTCAGTGTTTGCAAGAAGTGGCGCGGAATCACTCTCCTGTCCACCCAGAGCAAGCAAAATATTAAGCCGCATCATCCTGGAGAGGCTAAGGGATGCACTGGATTCAAAACCATGAGCGGAACAGGCAGGCTTCAGGAAGTACAAATCATGTGCAGACCAAATTGCAACGCTTCGCTTCATCATAGAACAGAGCATAGAATTGCAGTCAACCCTCTACCTCAGCTTCATTTACTTTGATAAGGCCTTTGACAGTGTCAACCGAGAGGTAATTTGGAAACTGCTTCATTACTAGGGAGTACCGCAAACCTTTATCCTCCTCACTCAACAACTATATGAAGACGCCACATACCAGCCAAGTAATTCACAATGGGAAGCTCAGCTCAGTGATGCTTTTGAAGTGAAGACAGGAGTGAAACAAGGTTGCCTACTATCACCCATGACATTCCTGATTGTGGTCGACTGGATCATGCAGCAGACAACAGTGGGGAGCGAGAAGAGGGGGATACGCTGGCTTGACCGGGGAAAAGGACCTAGAAGACTTGGATTTCGCCAACGATGACTTGTGCCTGATGTCACACAAACTTGAAGATGTACAGGCGAAAACTAACGAGTTGGCAGAAGAGATGAGGCAGCGAAGACAGGACTTCAAGTGAATATAGAGAAGACAGAGGTGATGAAGATACCGCACCAACAACTCCAACAACAAACTCCGATCACCATGAACGGGAGAAACTTAAAGGAAGTAACCTCCTTCACCTATCTAGGTAGCACTGTTTCAACTACAGGCGGCACAGGTACAGACGAGGATGTCAAAGCCAGTCAGAATCGGAAAAGCAAGACAGGTGTTCATTAGCCTGAAACCAGTGTGGAGATGTTCTGCACTCCACTCGGCATGTGGAACAAGATCCGGATTTTCAACACCAACGTCAAGTCAGTGCTTCTGTATGGTTGAGAGACTTGGCGCGTCACGAAAGGGATTTCCAATAAACTACAGACATTCATCAACAACTGCTTACGCTGGCTCGCTACTGAAGATCAGATGGATTGCCAGAAAGAATAAGCAACAAGGAGCTCTGGGAACGAACCAACCAAGAACCTATCGCTGAACAAATATGCAGTGGAAGGAAGTGGAGATGGATTGGGCATACAGTGAGAAGGCCGACTGGGGACATCACGCGTCAGGCCAAGCCATCGAGTGTAACCCCGATGGGAAGCGACGAGTTGGGAGTCCCAGTTGTGGGTGACATGGAGGAGATGGTGCGAGGAGGAAATGAGAGCTTGTGGGCTGTCGTGGAGCCAGGTTCAAAAGATTTCAGAGAACAGAGTAGAATGGAGACGTGCTAGTGAAGCCCTATGTTGCATTAGGAACCCAAGGGACTAATAATATTATAATAATAATTGTGCAAGTGAAAGCACTTCCCATCTAATTTCCAATTTTGTTTAGGTTACCTAATTGTGAAGATGTATTTGATATTACCAATCAAATGCATTAAATTACTGGGATAGCTTATACATAAGCAGTAATACAGTTTAGGCTTTCAATTGTTTAGGTTCTTAAAATCTTAGAATTGACTGGTTTCGCATGTGTTTCTCGCATATTCTTATCGATAAACCGGCTAGGATAGCCGTTTTCCGTCAGCGTCTGTCTTAGAAAGTCAAGTTCAATTTGGACACATTCCGTGCTACAAATATTACGTATTCGATGGCACAGTGAGCGGATGAGATTTCTCTTCCTCTTGATCGGTACCCAGCTACAGAAATTAGTGAGTTGTTCATTCTTTGAGGGTTTCCTGTAGATGAGTCTTTTCAGCGTTCAATTGCTACGTCTCGTAATCAGTACATCAAGGAAAGAAATAGCTGATTCCGATTCCTTCTCAATAGTGAATTCCAACGCTGAGTAACATTTGTTAAACTCATGTAGGATGTCATCTCGATCGATAGTTGAGTCTCAAATAACGAATATGTCATCCCTATATCGTTTATAGATATCAAAATGCTTAATAGTTTGGCTAAGAATACAATTTTCTAGTTTTGACGTGAAACAATCTGCCATTAAAGGTCCTAGTGGGGATCCCATTGCGACCCCATCATTTTGCCGGTATATCTCACCATCGAAACTAAATTGCACATTGAAAATACATCTCATCAATAGCTCTCTCAAGTAGTTTGTTAGAATCCATACTTCTATATTATTTTTCTTTTGCCAAATTACACCACTTATTATGCCTGTAAGATATCTAATTACCTCCTTAGGGTTTCAACAGTTCACTCTGTCCTACTGTACGCCTTTGAAATATGCATGGTCATTAACATTGAAGGTCGAGCTTAGGATCGTAGGTAGAAGAGATAATTTAGTTAGTGCGATCACAAGATGGCCAGTTCGTGTTACATATGCCTAGTCACTGTCTACTCTGACACCTAACGCTGGCTACAGTAGGATTCATTTTGCGTGACCAGACTAAAATGCAACGTTGCTTGTGACTGTTGCTTTGAACCACACAGATTGGCAGGTTGAGATTTGCAAGATAGTCGCAATTGATTTTTTTGGAAACGCTAGACGATATGGTTCAGAAGTTATTTCGGTGACACAGATGTAAACATACATTCTCCGGATCTAAACCATTATATCATATTTCTACGCCTGCTTTAACCCATTTTCTTTTCGAATTACAATTTTCTACTACTTCATTGGGATGCATGATGAATGGGAAACAGTTTACTACTAAAGGACCTCAGCTGTCTGTGGCGCATTAGATGCCTATTATTTGGCGTTTATGGTGTGTAACAGGAAGAACAAAAAAACCTTCTGAGGTGTGACCCTGCAGTATTACTTTTTAAATTAATATTTGAGTCATATTTGGAGAATTCTGTTTCCTGTACTGTGTTTGTATTCTGAAAGTTTATAATTTCCATGTAGCGGCGTGATAGTTTGAACAGATCACACAGATCAAACTTGTAATCAACTGAAATGAACTAGATTTCGTCTTTCATCTAGATATTTGTTGTGGGTGTGCAGTATTTGTCCTAATAACCTGATTTCAGTCGACAGTAACAATGTCAATATAATTGTATTCCGTTTAAAATGATTTTCCCTATTTCATCCTTTTTTATAAGCTGACTGACATATAACACAATAGGTCGTACACAACATTATGAATAACATATTCAGACTGGTACCATTACCAGTTTCTGTTTCAGTCAAATGTTTTTAAAAAATTTGTTGAATGAGATAACGGGAAAAACTTGTGTTTTGCTTTAAAAGAGTTGTCTAAAACTTTGCTGGAATATCTTTGTATCTAATGGACAGATAAAACATCTTAGAACTCAGCTAAATATTCCATCGATGTAGTTCTTTGTTTCAATTACCATGTCTTTATTGGTCTACCACAAACATGGTCAGTTTGTATGAATATAAGAGGGGCGTACAGGACTCCACGTTTACGTTATCTAGAGAAAAAGGTCACAGATGCACACTAACAGGATATTTTAAAATCATACGAACAACTGTTGTATAGTTCTCCTGATCAGCATATTTAGTGTGCAGCGTCCCTGAAGTTATTCGATTAAAAACGGCTATGAATGCGCAGTAATGTTTGAAGTATTAAACTACCAGGCTGATTCATTTCAAGTGTACCAATCAAATTCGAAACTGGCTTTTTTTTATCTGGTTTTCCGCTTTCTTTTTTACTTTGGTAGGTTGATCTGCTTCAAAGCCTCATATTTGTTGAGTGCATTTCATAAAGGTTTACACTTCCCCACTAACTATCAACAATTGCATCCTGCACTTGAAATAAACAACATCGAACTGCAATGGAGCTTAGGAGCTCTTCTGTACAAGTTAACGTAAGATAGCTGTCATATGCAATTCATTTTAGTAATTGTTTTCAGACCACGAATTTATAAGTTTACATCACTTTCATCTAACTATGGGCAACAATTTATGCTCAAATAATTCTGTATCAATGTGTACTGTATCAAACCTATAGTGCCTAAGTTTAACACATATTCAGGGATTTATAAGAAAATGATAATAAAAAAATAACAAGAACCTCTGAGGAAATCGAAATCAAACCACCAGCTTTCAAATCATTAGTTTTGTTCTAGATGAAGTTTGGATTTGCGATGAAAACCAGCATGGTTAACTACATCTTGAATGTAGTTTTCAATCTCAGCTTGACAAACACACACTATGAACAGTACTACAATTTACCTCCAAGCGTAAAGTGTACAAGAAAAGACACTGTCTCGTTTTCCAGATGATCTTGATATCATTTTAGCGACTTACAGAAACAGATTGATCCACTTTTATCTGCCAATCAACAGCATCAGTGGGAACTTATTCGTTTTACACTGGCTTCTGTACCTATAATAATTAGCCGCTTCAAATCTGAAGAGGCAAGAAAAAAAAACAGCGTAAATCCTTTTTATGCTGTTTGAAAATGAGACCATCAAAGTTGTGTTTTGAAATAGTTACAGTAAAACAATAATTCCCAACGCGATATGGCTTTGCTTCATATTCCGTTTTGTATGAAAACAGCTATAGGAAGACAATAATTTTCAACCAACAGTCAGTACAATTCAGTGTTTCTCTGGATTATCTTATTAAGTGATGCAAAATAACTCACTTTGTTTTCATATCAGAACAATGAATATTTAAAATAGCTTGAATGTGAACTCAGTAAGAGTTCTCTCTAGAGAAGGCGTCAGTATAGGTTATGACCAAAAGTTGTTTTGCCTTTTCCTCCGCTGATCTACTTTTTCTTCTCTTTGGGACCTAATTTACATATTTCGTATTTTAGTTTTTTTATATGGAAAATAAAAGGAAAGAGCAATGTTTTAGCATTCATTTAGTTTAGCAGCAAGCCCTCAAGACAGATGGTTGAAACAATGTAGAAAGTGTCTTGAAAACCATTTCAGCTGACCTTCAACTACAACCAGAATAGATATTATTACTGTCTCACCAAATAAAACTACATTTAAGAAAGCTGTGACAACAATAAGTAACAGATATGATATGGTCTTCACGTTCTGTTTGTACAAGTCTTCACTACAGTCGACCTGATAAGTCAAGAAAAGGAATAAATGTATTTGACTTTAAATTTTTCAGGATTTAGATGAATATGAAATGTCGTTTTTAAGGGAGTCAATCAAGAACCACTACTTGGGATACGAAATTCACAAACGGCCACTAAAAACGTTTGTTGGCCATTGACTGATGTAGCGTATAAAAGCTATCCAAATTTCGCACCAAGCTTAGACGTCAATTTAGATGTTAGTTGGCTGGAGGCAATCTGCAGGAGGCCCTGGACCTAAGTTCCCGTACTTGTTGGCACTCATCAGCAAGGCGTGTCCGCAACCTCGACGGGACATATGTCCTGCCTGAGATTTGAACCCGCGTCACCCAGTGTCGCAGTCTGCCACTTTACCACTGAGCTATTCGGGCTGCGATTGACCTCCTGTAGGACTGGGTTACGTGCATTGATTGGTCATGGGAGAGCAGCCAATTCGATGTTCTCTAGTCCTGAGTCCCGATAGAATCCTATTGATCAGCTAACACCTACCATTGCTGAGCCTCTTAGCTTGGTGGCTTCATTGCAGACATGATCGATAGGATTCGATCTGCACTTAGGACTAGACAACATCTAATTGGTTGCTCTCTCGTGACCAATCAATTTAACTAACAATTGCTAGAAACCAGGATCCTCAACTATTCCATACCTAGCTTATATCTGGGAAGAATAAGTCTGGACAAGTCATACAGGTTCTGAGTGTGATCCAGAGTGTATCAAGTAATTTTATACTGTTGGCCAGATTCTAGAACACAGCATATCTAGTTACCCTGTGCCATTATTCAAATTTAGTTTTAACATTCAACTGTTACTCCTACACAGACTCTCTTTTAAGATAACCTTCGTGTTTCAAGTAAGTTGTAGTGAAATCCCTTTTGATCAGAGTATAACTCTATGCAGTAGTTTAAGACTTGGAGAAAACCTGGAATTTTTTGACACCTACTAGAAATATGATACATTTCTGTAACTAAGTAATCATTCGAGAAGCTAAATGTATCTTAGAAAAAATAAAAACACAACTAGAGCGCTCACAACAAAGTGGTATCATGACTTATGCACATAATAAATATGACTCATAAACTGGCAAACAAACGTCTACACTGGGTTGAATTGCCTGGTTCGAATTCATGCTTAAATGTCTGACAACCAAATTCCTCCATCGCCTAAATTAACCTCTTCTGACATGTGTACAGTACCTATATTTCTACCTTTCTGAAAGGGGGGGGGTTGAACACAAGTGCCGATATACACATAATATGTAAACCGTTTATTAATCTGTAAGTAAATGCATATCCAATTCAGTGTTTGTCAAAAAATTTTTTTCATTAAAGAATATTTACCTCGTTAAAATTTCTCATTTTCATACTTCTCTTTTTTATTTGCTATCGTCAAACATTAAGAGCGAGTACATCAGAAGAGGAGTATAACAGAAAGGTTGCAATAATTTTAATCGTTGTTGCTATTATTCTGCTCATTTCAGCAGTGTTAGGCTTTGTACTGTATTCTGTGTTGAGAAAAAGGTGTTCACGTATACCGAAACAATCAAACAGTGAAATAGACAACTCAGATACATATAATGTAGAATCACACGATCAATCCTTCAACTTAAACGATTCAAAAGTTAATAGCAATAATACAATAGCACCACTTAATGATATGACCTCACCTGGAAATTGAAGGGAAAACACAACACCTTAATGTACACTGATAACGCTATGTCGTGAAAGCGTATTTGGAAGTTTTGTGAATTGATCACCGTGAGAAGGAAGATAGCACTTCATATTTACTGTAAAACATTCTGTTCAGTATTATGTTTTTACTTTGCTGACGACATTGTCAATGACCATTGTTCATATCATATCTCCTTCGTTTTAATTTGTTTTTAATAATGAGCGCCATATCCAAGGGCACATTCTAACTATCCATCTTTAACAACGTATAAATCATTAATGACAAGTGAAAGCAAGATTTTATTTTATTAAAGCATATTATATAACTTTTTATAACTATAAACAACTTTTTATTAATTTGTAATTCCTTTCTTTTCTGTTGAAAGGCTTGTTTATTGTAATCATTAATCATGTTGATTCTTTATTTTTGATAACTTGTCCATCAACTCCCATCCAATAATATTTAACTTCTTCATTCTCCTGTTACCTCGTTTGGTTCTTGAGAGTAAATAATCGGGAAAAATTTTTGGAAAATATTTTTTGAGAATTATGATGACTGTTGAATAGACCGACATTTATTACACTGTTGCAAACATTTTGTACCTATAAATTAATTTGTAATAAAACTGGGCTCTACTTCTAGACTTACAAGCTGTAATAAAAAGAAGTGTATGACATGTGCTTACCTCCATTCTCCATCGGAATACTGTTCTACACATATCATTTAGAAGTTGAATTTGGTGGCCACAAGCAGCTATCCGATAGCATGAAGGAATTTAGTAATTGTAAGATTTATGTGCTACGCTACAAATTCAATCATATTATGGCATATTCGCTACACATCTTTGTTAAACAGTTGTCAAATCATCTATTCTACTTTTACTGCGTCTTTTTCGATTATGTTAAGCAGTTAAGTACTTCAGAATGATATGATATTGTATCGGTTTAATCTTAGTTCCACTGAATAATGAATGGATATAGTTATTTCAAAGCTGATCTGTTCATCCCGGGATTTGAAAATTCTAGGTTTTTTTCTGAAACTGATGAAAATTTTCAAAAACAGGTAGCGAAAACATTTACTACTCCTGAGATCTCAACAACCATTTGACTTACAAATTGCTATCCGATGAAAAAAAGTATGACATTAATTCTTAATCCACACTTAAAAGTGTGAGTACGGTTTTCCAGGGTACCAATGAGAAAATATACTCAACTATATGATGTGAAATGATGGTAAGTGCATATAATGACAGTCAACGTAACCGATCCTAGTGGTTCAAGTATCAACGCATTTATATAAAGTATGCAACGTAATTATAGTTAATTATTACTATTTTATTTTTCCCTTGGGTTCCTAGTGAAACATAAAGCTTCAGTAGCACACCTCCACTGCACTCTCTTCTCTGCAGCCTTTTCAACCTGGCACCACGACTGCCCACAAGCTTTCATTTCTTCCTCACATCATCTCCTCCATGTCACTCTCGCCTCGGACGCCCAACTCGTCTTTTCCCCTTTGGATTCCACTCGACGACCTGCCTTGGCGCGTGATATCCACAATCAACCTACTCAGTGTATGCCCAATCCATCTCCACTTTCTTCTGCATATTTGTTGGGTGATAGGTTGTTGGTTGATTCGTTGCTAATCACAGTTCCTTGTTGCTTGTTCTTGTTATTCTGGCCATCTGATCTTCAGTGTCAGTATGGAGTGAGCGTAGGCGGCAGCTGTTGATGGAATGTCTGTAGTTTGTTGGAGATGCCTTTCGTGACACGCCAAGTTTCTGAAGCATAACATAGAAGTACTGACTTGACTGACATTAGTGTTGGGAATCCGGAAGTTGTTCACGCTTTATGCTGAGTGTAGTGTAGTGTAGTGCAGTGCAGTGCAGTAGACCTCCACACTGGTTTCAGGTTAATGAAGGTGTGTCTTGCTATCTTTCCGATCCTGACTGGCTTTGACGTCCTCATCTGTGCCTGTGCCGCCGCCTGTAGTTGAAATGATGCTGTCTAGGTATGTAGGTAGGTAGGTAGGTAGGTAGTTGAAAGAGACTACTTCCTTCAGGTTTCTCCCGTTAATGGTGCTTGTTGTTGCTGTTGTTGTTGTTGGTTGGGTGTCTTCATCACCTCCGTCCCCTCTACATTCACTTGGAGTTCGGTTTTTGCTGCCCTGCCTGTTCTGTCAACTTGTTAGTTTTCGTCTGTAGATCTTCGAGTTTGTGCCACAAGACATCAGACATAAATCGTCATTGGGAAATCCAAATCTTCTTCTCGGGTCTTTTCATCGGTCCAGCCAGCGTATGCCCATCTTCTCGCTCCTCACAGTTTGTTGCATGATTCAGTCTAGTTCAACACAATCAGGAAGATGATTGGTGATAGTAGGCGGCAGGCTTTTCTTACTCCTGTTTTCACTTCAAAGGCGTCATGAGCTTTCCATTGTGAATCACTTGGCATGGTTAATTACTGATGGAGAATTGCCAACTCGAACGAAATACTCGTCTATTTCTTTCCACTTTACTTCAATTATAGCTAAGTTATTTAGATACTCAACCTCGCCTGGTTAACTGGTTCACTAGTTACTAGCCGGTCCTAAGCCCGGGTAAAGAGGGAAGGTTGGGCATAGGGCTAGAAACCCTACCCCGTAAAACAAATCTAACCACTAAAGAAACTTCAAAGCACAAACGATGTATAAAAAATAAAAACAAAATTATTCCTCGCTGGAATAGGAGAGGCAAAATGACGCCAGTTGGTGAAAGCCTTCGGGAAGCCAATTGGCCGATGTGTCTCCTCTCCCTAGATGAAAGCTAAAGTAAACGTGGGGACATGGAATGTTCGCACTATGTTTGAACCCAGCAAGGCAGCCCAGATTGCAGAAAAGATGAGAAGGTATCACATTGAAGTGCTTGAGATTTGCGAAAGCAGATGGAATGGGAGTGGACTTTCCAAACTGTCAACTGGAGAGGAGTCAATAATCTACTCCGATATTGTCACCCAGACGACAACCACGAGCACACTGAGTTATGGAGTGGCTATCATGATGTCCCCAACAGCATCGAACGCTCTCTCTCATGCAGTGGGAACCAATCTCCTCTAGCTGGATGATGACAGCAAGGTTCAACTCAAAAGGAAGGAAGGAAGGAAGGTCACAATTATACAATGCTATGCACCTACAAATAATACAGAGCAAGATAAAAAGGAGGAATTCTACAGACAACTGCAATTAACACTGGACAAGACCTCACTGCAGTTGGCGATATCAAAATTCTAATGGGTGTGGCGACATGAATGCCAAACTGGGAGGGGAAAACATAGGAAGAGAACTAACCATGGGTCGAGAAGCGCTCGGTGAGGTGATGAACGAGAATGGAGAATTGTTTGCAGAATTCTGTGCATTCAACGATTTGGTGATTGGAGGCGAGGCAGTGTGTTCAAGCACAAGGATATCCACAAAGCGAGCGACATGGATTTGACCAGACACCAGGACACACCACTCTGAAAATCAGATCGACTTCATCTCAATGTGGAGAAAGTGGAGACGTAGCCTACTCGACACAAGATCGAGAAGAGGAGCAGATGTAGTTTCAGACCATTACCTATCTCTCTAGTGCAGGGAACCTTCAAAGTCAAGTTGAAAACCTTCAAAGAGGTTTGTGATAGACCACAGTCCAAGTACAACACCCAGAACAGAAACTGAAGGACGAAACTACAAAGGAAATCTTCACGTCAGTCAGCCATGAAGACAAAATGGGAGATATCGAGGAACATTCCTGAAGAGACCTGTGTGGAAGAATACTGGAAGTCTTTGAAAGCTATGTGGAAAGAAACCTGCACAGCCGTATTAGGAAGGAAGAAGAAAGAAGACAAGGAATGGATCTCGACGTATACCTGGAAGCTGATAGAGGAGATGGTGATGATGGTGAAGCAGAAGATAAACTGGTGGGCAAGGATGCTCAACGACAAGAGGAACTGAGTATAGTGTATAAAACACTGGACGAAGAAGTGAAGAAGAGTGCACGGAAAGACAAAAGACACTTCTACGAAACACTGGCAAGTGAAGCAGAACAGGCTGCAGGTAGGAGAGAGAGACCTGACAACATTTTATCAAATAACCAGGTTGCCATCTGGGAGTAGATCAACACAGATGAAACCAATAAAAGATGATGACGGAAATTTAATTACGAAAGAAGAGAAACAGAGGAAACAATGGGCTGACCACTTGAAGAAGCTCTTGAATCGACCACCACCACCACCACCTGCACTTCGTCCAGAAATACGGCCTACAGCCGCTGAACTACAAGTGAACATAAATCCTCTAACAAAAGTAGGAGTCCTGAACGCCATAAATCTACTGAAATGCAGGAAAGCAGCAGGACCAGATGGGGTTCAGCCAGAAGCACTGAGAACAGACGCAGTGACAACAGCGGACATGCTCACACCGCTATTGCAGAAGGTCTGGAAGGAAGAAAAAGTACCTTGCTAGTGATTGGAAGAGGGGTTACCTTGTCAAACTGGCGAAGACGGGAGACCTCAGTGTTTGCAAGAAGTGGCGCGGAATCACTCTCCTGTCCACCCAGAGCAAGCAAAATATTAAGCCGCATCATGCTGGAGAGGCTTAAGGATGCACTGGATTCAAAACCATGAGCGGAACAGGCAGGCTTCAGGAAGTACAAATCATGTGCAGACCAAATTGCAACGCTTCGCTTCATCATAGAACAGAGCATAGAATTGCAGTCAACCCTCTACCTCAGCTTCATTTACTTTGATAAGGCCTTTGACAGTGTCAACCGAGAGGTAATTTGGAAACTGCTTCATTACTATGGAGTACCGCAAACCTTCATCCTCCTCACTCAACAACTATATGAGGACGCCACATACCAGCCAAGTAATTCACAATGGGAAGCTCAGCTCAGTGATGCTTTTGAAGTGAAGACAGGAGTGAAACAAGGTTGCCTACTATCACCCATGACATTCCTGATTGTGGTCGACTGGATCATGCAGCAGACAACAGTGGGG